GTGACCCAAAAAAGGGCTCATGTACATTTTGATCATATATAATATCATAATTATTTTTGTGGCACGCAAGTATATATCATTAAGATTTAAAGATTCCTTTGGAAGAAAATTAAAGAGAAAGGTAAATTTGCAGAGCTTAATTTAGGGTTTGAAAGTGACACGCAAATTGTATTATTGCAGAAGAGAGAGAGACTAGATGTTGACGTTGTTGGTGCACATCTCCTCATTTATTTGCCCTAGTTTTCCATTTCTCTCTCTCTTTCTTAAGTAGATTTTGTTTTCATTTTCCTTTGTTAATCACACCAAACTCCAAAACCCTTTTATATATTACTAAATTTACCAACGTAAGTCACTCAAATTATTGTCACATAATGTTTTAGAGGACGGTTTAGGATCGGAAGTCAATTGGCTCTTTCATGACTACCTAAAATATTGATTAAAAGAAGTTTACAACTTTACAACAATCTTTACGTACGGCTTTGTTTCTTCTAATCAAGTTTTAGAGAGTTAGAAGGTTTACATATATTAAAAAAAATGAAAATTACGTACATAATCAATTTTATAATTAGTACAGTTCGACCAAGAAATTGATCGGATCCATGATTTTTTTCTATATAAATTTTAAAACTTGTATAGGTTATTATCAACTCTTAATCAAGTTAGAAAAGCTGATACCTTTGAAAAAATTTCCGAGGCTTTATGTAGTTAAACCACCAAAAAAAATATATTAGCTACAGGTTAAATTTATACATGTTTTTTCTTGACGACATTTACATCTTTTTCTTATAAACGATTCCTAAAAATTTATTGCTTTTCTTGTAATATGCTCAGACCACTTGGCTGTATTAATGAAGAGTTAAAAAGATGTAGAAGTTGTGCTCGAGCCTTTTTTTTAGAAACACGTTTTCATAAAGTTAACACCACCGGTCTGGCCTAAACATAGCAACCCAATAATACATAAATACTTTTAATTTATTCAACAAACCTAGAAACAATAAATTATTCCTTTTCCTGTATTTTTGTGTAACAAGTTCAGCAATTTAAAGCTCTTGAATAATTAGAAAAAGCATCTAAGAGAATAGACCATTTTTCTTATAGATTTGTGGGGTTAAAATTTCAAATTTTAGAGATTATAGAGGCGGTTTAAGATTTTTGGATTTTGGAATTAGTTTATACTATTTAGTTAAATTTTTAGAAATGCAGATTGAGTTTTGATATGAAATTTAGAGTATTGAATATCAATGAGATTTTGTTTGTAAATTGAATTGACAGAGAAATTAAATATTTATGAGAGAACACAAAACAACAAATCAAATCGGAAGAAAAGCAAACTAAACAAGTTGTGTTGCTACAAAGTTCATGATGATATTGCTTTTTGTTCTGGAACCAACACATCAAAGTCACTCACTGTCCACTCTGCAGTTTCTTGTCTATTGCTAACATATATTTCAGTACCAACATTGATCGATGTCCAAACGCGCTTTGCTGGTTTGCTTCCTGGGTCCTGTCGATCAAAGACAGATTACTTTCAAGACAAGTCCAAGTATGAGACAACAAAATTGAACATCCTATACTTACTTGGTAGAAGTAGAGACGACTCGATAGAGCTCCAACATCGAGCTCCCAACTCCTTGAATCCCCAATCCAACCGTCTCCTTGCTTCTCGGGATATCCATGGACCGACCATTCTCGATGAGGCAGAATTTGGATCAATTCTTGCGCTTGAGGATTGCTGTATGGATCACAAATATCATATGGTCTCTCTAGATGTTGTGCATTTCCAGGGCTGCAATATAGATGATAAGCAGAATATGGGAACCGTGATGTCTCGTTCCTGTGTATGATCTCACCCGAGGCACTTGTATGATATGGAGGACATGATACTAAATTATCCGGGCGACACCAGCTTGTAGTTGCCGGGTTAATAATCATCTCGCTGTATCTAGTTACATCCGTCAAAACTTCTCCATCACATGGATGACCATTGTTTTTCCAACAGCTTCCTATGTCAATCAGATAGAATTGGCTGTTGGGTCCTCCACCGAGTTTAACATCAAGCGTCAGCTTCACTTTGAAGTTCGGAGACTCGGGTAGCTAACCATACAAAAAGTGACAAAACATATCAAGAACAGAAATTTCGATAGACTCCAGGATAGATTCTATTCACAAACCTTTCTCATCATGCCACGGCCATTATAGTGATAACCACCATTAAAACCTTCTGCAGCATCCGCACGAATATACAACATGAGCCATGGGTATTTTGTAGAAGTCGTCAATGTATTCGAGAATACCCAACTCCCACTTTGTACATTCTTTTTCCATGAAACAGAGAAGAAAGATGTTTTCCCTGCTCCTTTGCCATCAAGGTCATATGTTCCATTGAATCCTCCAGTCAAATGCATTGTCCCATTCTCATCAGCAATAAGCCTCGAATAGTTATGGTAAACAAGAGGCTGGTTCATGCAACCTTGCCCGAAACACGGGAAATTTCTCCCGGTAACTATTTTACCGACTTTCTTCCCATTCTCAGGGCAGAGCGTAGAGTTCTTGTCGAAATTCCCATTCTTAAGCATTATCATCCAGAAAAACCAAGGCTCTTCTTCATTGTCTTGAACCTTGCACAAAGATCCTAAATACCGTTCTTTCTCACTCGCAAACAAGTCAGGATCTCTATAGGATGTGAAACCAGAAACTGGAAACTTATCTCCAGCAGCTAACTTATTGTCTGTGTCATTTACCCAATGATACACTTCACACTTGCTTCCAAGCCTCTGGTCTAGATCTTCTAAGAACCAAATGCACACAAATTAGCAGATTCATGAACTAAACCAGTAGGAATGTTTTGAACCTCGAAGATTATTTATTTATTACCTGCGAGGATTGGGCAAGACAGGTCGGCGCAATCAGCGAGTCTAGGGCTTCCCATTGTAGGAGCTTCGGAACCAACTTCATTACAGAAGTTCCAAGCTTCCAATGCGATTCTCGTATTACGGTTCCTCATTCCTCCGTCTCCCAAAGCCGACACATACTTCTCCGCCTCGCATATCGGAACCGACAAAGATCTCTCCGACAGTAGAAGCAGAGCCAGTAAGAGAAAAATCGCAGCCATTGCGAGAGAACTCACGAAGGAGACAGAGATACGCGTGAAGAAGACGAAGAGTGAAGTAGGCGCGTGGAAATGGCGGAAAAAAGTAAAGATTTTGCCATCTGAAAAAAATCTGATGATTATTGCACTTGTTTTGCTTTGGAAGCATGATTCTCGGTATTTCTGATTACATCCCTCTTGTTCTTCGTAAATTACAAAGAGACGCTCAGGTTTTGAATCGTTACAGAAAGAACCCGTCACTTATACGCAGAGCTATTCGAAAAGAATTGACCTTTTGATAAATTGTGAATTGGGATCCTCTGTTTCGTTCAGCGAGTCTTTGAGCTGTCTTTATTGAGAGAGAGAGTAGTGGACCATGTGTGATGATGATCGAAGAAGACAATGTCTCTCTTACACTTCTCTGTGGTGGAACATGGTCCTAGTCCAAATCCATCGACCACTGAAATATCAAAATCATTGTTATTTCCTCTCTGAATTTTGGGTTTATGGCAAGCTTGCACCTTGGCGCTGCTTTGTTGATCAACGAATCTTGGGTCGTTTTCGGTTTCAAAAATAAACGGTTTAGACGAGTTGCAGAGGTTAAAATCACTAATCAAATATACTTTTTTTCGTGATTTTTGTTTGATTTTCTTAGTGAATGATTCTTCTGTGGCTGTTTGGTATTTGTAGAGATGGAGGTTTCGTGTTCAACATATGTCAGTGAAGGAACAGATGACCAAACACGACCTAGTTCGTTTTGCTAAAAGGTGATGACTTTGTTCAATGTGTGTACTTATGTTAAGCGAAACAGTTTTGGAACTTTTCTTCAAGGACACCAAATTGCTTGGTTTAACTGTGTGGTGGATTTGAGCCAGTTATGATAACAAGTGTGTGGTTTTTGGTAGTTTAATTTCTTCATCTACTGGTTGTTGCTTTGAATAGGATTGTTGCAGTTTCTTCCTTAGTGACATGATAAGTGTAACTGGAGCAGGAATGTTTTGAGTGATTTTTGCACTTTGTTTTATAGAATGACTTGAGTGTCTCTAACGTTGCAGAAGTGAGTCCTTAAGATATATTCTAAAGCAATATGGAGTATCAGTAGAAAACCCTCAAGAAAATAAGGCTAGTAGCATCAATTTTGAAGAGACGCATGCCAATGTTCCTTCTACTGTCATATATGACTCATCTAAGATGGTATGTATCACAGAAGTTCTGGATTTGTACTTAAGTTTTCTTGTCCTTGAATGGTATCATCTGAATCGAACAGTTCCTGATGTTATTTAGTCTTTCGAAAACTGATGAGTACTGACAGAATACCACTGAGGAGCTACCTGATTTACCTCGAAAAGAGAAATATCGTGAGACTATTAGCACCGCAGAGAATCTTTCAGGGAAAAATCACCACAATATACCCCATGTAAGAACAAATCCTTTCAAGTCATTGGAAGTGCTAATGATTTGAGTTTGCTTTCAGATTCATCTTCTTGTATCCCTTTTAGTATATTCAGTTTCTTACGGTGTTTAGATCCATGTGTTTAGCCGATGCTTTGGTGGTGTTCCTCTAAACCCTTTGATTATATTCATTTTGGATCTGGTTTAACTTAGAAATTGCATACTCTTAGTGTGTTTTCCAGCCTCTAAACACGTCTCTCTCTTCAGTTAAACACAGGTGCTTTGTTCACTAATCTGCTTCCTGTTCTTGGGTTCTGCATCATATGCGTAATTGGGACGGTACACAGAATAATATCACGAAACTTAGAGAAGTTGGGTGGAAGAAAAGAATCACAAGGTCATCACCATGGCTCTGAAGAAAGAACAAGGTGGAGAAGTGCGTTGAGTGATTGGAATGAGCCACTTGCTTCTGATGAACATGATTCGTCGCCAGAAAACAGAGTCAGTTACTATATATATACAAGTTATGAGTTATATTTGTCCATAGATTTTTCCTTGGGTTGTTATAGAAGCTAATTGATTATGTGCAGGTCGGTTCAGCGAATCAGGAAGCTATGGAAGAAGTGGATGAAGCATATAACAGAGTGGAGCTTGAGTACAAGAGATTTCTATCGGAATGTGGAGTGAGTGAATCTTAGATTCCTACAAGTAGTTCTTGAGCAATAGTAGCTGCTTCTGAGGTTCTAAGAACTTTTTGTTTGGTGGTTAACGCATACTGTGATACTAATGCATAAGGTCTAAGCATTTAACTTTCCTTGAAATTGTGAATATTAAGGGTTTAGTATAATTTGATTTGGATACATCAAGCTTGGTATTCAGCAATCGGTCCTCTGATAAAATTATGAATTTCTTGAAACTTTTTCTTGCACTTATCTCTCATTTGGTTCTGTCTTACTCAGTTACAATGAGACAGACACAAATCAAACTCAAGATCAAAAACGGTGGCGACTGACATCCGCTGGACAAAATGGTGTACCGGAGCGAGCCCGGTGGCTAGGGATGGTGAAATGCCGGAGCCTCCCTTGCTGCTCCTTCAAGTATCCTTGGCACAAGAACGCTGCCGAGAACTCGTCCTCCACAGCCCGATTAACGTCGTGGACGAAAACATCAGTCTCGCCGCCATCATAACGGTTACGAGCCAAAAGACCAGCCGTGTAAATAGCACTCATCCTCCCCGGAGCTTCCTCATGGAAGCCAGTGGGAGCATCGACCATTATCAGATCCCATTGCGTCTCGTAAACGTCCGCGGGAAAACCCTTGAGTGATAGAGCACATTTCGAAACTCTCGGATCAGACACAGATTTGCAATCCTCTGTTTTCTCTAGCTCCATTAGTTTGTTCGAATCTTTCAATTTCGTGTCATAAACGACGTGGTATGATTCTAAGCTCGGGAATTTCGTAGTCACGGTCTCGATCCAAACTTTGTCTTCCTCGAGGAACACTGCATTGTAAGAAGTAACTTTATAAGAAATCATAAGAGTATTGATCTTCATAGGCTAGATTTGTTATGAAACAGGATTATAGTGGTTTGTACTAGTGTCGTCGTGGTATAACCGGGTTCAAATCCGGTAGGCTAGAGAATGTGGGAGTATCAGTTGTAGACGACAAAACAAAGATTATAATTTGTTATGGAGAAGCTTACATGTGCGACCACCATGGTTGAGAGAAGCCCACATCAAGCTGTCGTGTCCTAAGCCGAAGACGAGGAAGTTACAAGGAGATTTCTTGTCCAAGACTCGCTTAGAGACGGAGATTTCTTTAAACGTTTGTTGCGGAGTGATCTTTGTGGTGACGTAGTGAACCAATGCATCGGATAGAGAAGTGGGCAATTTGGTGCATTGTTGCGGAGTTGATGGGCATCTAGATTGTTGTGTGGTTGAGTCGGAGAGATTTGTTTTCGAGACGGAGTTTGAAGAAGAAGAGATGCTTGTTCTTTGAAAGAAAAGAATGAGCAGAACCACAATTGTGCAACAGATGAATATGAGATTTGGGGTGATGAAAGATTGGGATCTATTCCTCATGTTTTCTTGCCTAAAGTTTTGATTTTTCTCTCTGGTTTCTTTTTGATTAGTGGTAAGATTTAAAGTATGGGGAGCTAGAGCAAGAAGATGTGTTGACAATGTTGAAAAAGCGTATATCTATTGATT